TCTGGGTTGACCCTCTGTTGAACCCTTGCTGGATCATACCTCCTTTTCCTGGGTGCCCCAAATCCAAGGGGCCCCATCTTTCAAGAACATCTCAGCCTTAAAACTTCTTGTTTATTATTATTATTATTGGTCTTTTTAAGACAGGGTCTCTGTAGCCCCAGCTGTCCTGGAACTCACTATGTAGACCAGGCTGGCCTTGAACTCACAGAGATCCACCTGCCTCTGCCTCCCGAGTGCTGGGATTAAAGGTGTGCGCCGCCATGCCCGGCACAAAGATTTTTTTTAACAAGTCCAGAAATATAAATTACCTTTACCTGGGTGATTGAGTGCTTTGATTTGGGGAAGGTAGACTTTTATGTATCTTGGAGACAGATTTGCAGTTTGTGGCAAATATTTAAGCTCTTTAGCTATCGCATTTAAAGGTTTTGTTTTTCATAAATGAGTTTGTATTTGCTGCCATTTCTATATGTGACTCCTTTTGTTTGGCAGGGTCTCACAGAACCCAGGCTGGCCTTGAACTTGTCATATAGTGGGGGATGACCTTGAACTCCTAATCATCTTGCCTCTCCCTCTCAAGTTCTGTGATTATAGGTATGTGCCACCAGGGTGGCCTAATATAAGTGACTTTGTGGTTCTGATTTTAAAATAGAGCCAATAATTTCCCTGCATGGTGGCTTGGGAGGATTGAGAATTAGAGGCCATTCTTCCCTATATAGTAAGACCCTGTCTCAACCAAACAAAATAAAATAAAAAATAGGGCCAATAAGTCATCTTTGGTTAGGAAACCAAAATTTACTTTGGGAGGGGAGGGTTAGTAGATTTTCGGCATCAAAATTTTTTATTTATTTTAGTGTACTCATGTCATGTGGTGCCCATGGAGGTCAGAAGAGGTTGTTGGATTCCCTGGAACTGGAGTTATGCATGGTTGTTAGCTGCCATGTGATTACTGGGACTTGAATCAGAATCTTCTGCAAGAGCAATCAGTGCTCTTAACCTCTGAGCCATCTCTCCAGCCCCTTTTTTGACATTTTTGACAATTAGCCATTTTGACATTTTGTTTTGTTTTGTTTTCTACTTTTTCTTCAAGGGCATATAAAATGGTGTGTGTGTGTGTGTGTGTGTGTGTTTGCTGGGGATTGAACCCAAGGGACTTATAACCCATGCTTGGCAAACATTCTACCACACCTCCTAGCCCAAATCATATGCAGTTTTACAATTATGTGGATCATTTAGAAGCCCTAATTTGGGTAAAATTTAAACTGATCTTAAACACGTGTAAAATGGGTAGGCAGCTTTGTTTTGTTTGTTTGTTCCTTTCTGGTACCACTGAGAATTAAATCCAGGTCCTTAATCTTGCTGGGCAAGCACACTGCACTAAGCTACCCATCTTGTTTGGCCCCCAAATTATTTTTTGAGGCAAGGTTTCACTATATAACCAGACTGACCTTGAACTTGTGTACCTGCCTTTACACTGTTAAGTACTGATATTGTAGGCATGGGTCACTATCCCTCACTAGGAAAATAGGTCTTTTAAAGAATTATGATCCATGAACTATGTGTTCTTCTTGAGAGGAAGCACAGGGTCCTGAGGAAGGAGCATCTGGAAGGTAGGCAGATTTGTACCAGGGAGTGTTACCTCGGTCCTTTTGAATGCTTGGAGGTCAGTCTAGTGGTCGATGCAGTTTCGTCTCCCTCAGGAAGCCAAGGCTAGAGAGAAGATGCAAACATGTATTAATTTTTATCATAAGGAAATGAAGCACAACTGAACTTACAGAGATCGCCATGGACTAATGGAGTGTTTGGCTTCAGGAATACCATATGTGTGTACTCTAGACACTTCAGGGTGTACCCCAGCATTGGACCAGGTGTTATCTCACTGAGTCTCCTGGCTGGCCTGGAACTCACAGAGATCAGCCTGCCTCTGCCTCTGTGCTGGGATTAAAGATGTGTGCTACCATGTCCAACCATCACTGAATCTTTATATTAATCCCATGAGGGAAAGAAAAACATTTTTTCACAATCAGGGCCATGTGTATGAGTATATTGCCTGCATAAAGTTAGGTACAACCATGTCATGCAGTGCCCACAGAAGTCAGAAGAGGGTTTCTGATCCCCGGAACTGGAGTTATAGACGGTTGTTAGCTACCACGTGGGTGCTCAGAATTGAACCTGGGTCCTCTGCAAGAGCAGCCAGTGCTCTTAACTGCTGAGATATGTCTCCAGTCTCCCAGTGGGGGAATTTCTCTTTTTTTTTTTTTTTGTTTAAATTTTGCATGCCTTTAATGCCAGCACTTGGGAGGTAGAG